ATTTAAATATATATAATACATATGTATATAAAGTATTTCAATAAGATAAATAAATATTTTATTTAAAAGTTTGCATCACAGAATAATAATCAATATTGGAAACAACAATTAATAGAAGCATTTAAGAAAAATAAAGATATCACGAATCTTGAAGTATCACAAAGATTGAATCAAGATGCACAAGATGTGTTAAGTTTTTTGAAAAGCAACCGCAGGCATAATGTAATATTTTGTTATTGGTTAATTATAAATTAAGTTTCCTCGAACCAATTTTCGAATTTCCTAATTTTCCCAATCAAAGGGGTCCCTTAAAGCGGGGTAGATCAATTGAATCGACGATCCAGAGTCATGCAAGTCAATCAAAATCTTCAATTTATAATACAAGTAGACAAGTTTTTTTAAATTTTTTTGAAAGTTTAAGCAAAGATATCTATCTGACCAAATTCGATAAAATTTTTTTTATTTAAATTCTATAGACCTGCAGGATTCAAATAACAAAAAAATTTTTATTAAGTTTGGCTAAAAATACCTTTGTTAAAATTAAATTGGCAGTTTCTATTATAATAGACGTTTTGAATTTTTTAAAACTTTGAGCAAAGGTATCTGAAAATTGGTTTATTTGAATTCTACAAGTCTTTAAGATTCAAAAAAACATCGAATTTGATCAGATTGTTGTCGAGATAACTTTGCTCAAAGTTTTAAAAAAATTTTGTGCGGTTTTTATTATGATAGACGTTTTGAATTGTTTAGAACTTTGAGAGAGGGTATCTTGACAACCATCTGACTAAATTCGATGATGAAATTTTTTTATTTGAATTCTACAGATTTGTAGAATTCAAATAAAAAGATTTCATTATCGAATTTAGTCACTCAAAGTCAAAAAAAAACTTGATGATTTTGATTGATTGAAGATCAATCGACTTGCATGACCTTGGATCATCAATCTAATTGATCTACCATGCTTTAAGGGACCCAATCAAGGATACTATCAACAGGATGCCATCAACAGGATGCCATCAACAGGATACCAATGTTTGATAATATGTACTAATGTTTGAGATATTTACCAAAATCTAAATTAGGAAATCATGGTTCAAGAAAACTGTCTTAACTGATTATTAAGAATTTATTAATATTTATTAATATTTATTAATATTTTTATTAATATTAAATAAATACATGTATATCATAAAAAGGAACTTTTAACGTTATATAATCCAACTCACGGACAATCAGAAGAAAAACGCGTAGAATTAACAGCGAATCGTGTTGGATTAAAAGTACCAGAAAGTGATGGCTAAAATTTAAAATTTTAATTACAGTAGTTACAATAAAATAAGTTGCTTGCATAATACATATAATACATGTAATTATATTGATTCTATTTTTTTGTGTTTAATAATTTAAACAATAGTTGAGTCAAATACTTTATGTTGTAAATATCAAAGGCAACGAAAAATATCTTTAGAGATTCGAACACTATATATTATGATAATCACAAAATATTATCAAATTGTTCTCGACGAACCTAGTATCGCGTGACAATATCATCACATTACTATATATAGGCATGCATAATGATATCTCAACCTTTAAGTTTCACATGAAGGTACGAGTAAGCCATCGTTATTAACTTTACAATGGTCGTTTATTCAGATATTGTAATCTCTTTCAGACCATTCTATTTATAATTTTTAGAAGTATAACGCCTAATTCAATTAAGCTAATAGTACACATAAAATAGTCAAACATTTTTTATTCTCCTGCAGATAAGCATACAATGTACCTTTCAGCCCGTTCAAAAAGCCAAAAAGATTCATTGTTAGATCGACCTTAAAGGTAATAATGGTTGCGCCTTATCTACATACCCAGTAAATATACGTAGGCATGTAGGCAGGTATGTAGGTCAGGTATGTAGGTATGTAGGTAGGTAACGTACGAACGTACTTAGGATTTACTCGAAGATAATAGGATTTAACTTCTAATAGTTCCGTCGATCAAAATTAGATTCTC